TTTCCTTAGCATATGACATAAGCCAGATGGAACCAAAACTTTACCAAAAAAAATAGAGGGATGTTTATTCAAAATGGGAATGCATTTATTTGGAGAAAAATTGTTTAGCTGCCTTATCTGGTTGGAGGGTGTTCTTTTTTGGAAACTGTCATGAACTAAAAAGTTCTCTTTCCTCTCTTACACTACTTCAGCAATCAGAGGGAGCATATTTAGTAATTAAACATGATCAAAATGTTTCAAAGTGAGTTGACTAAATGAATTTCTAAACTTAATAACACCATGTCAGAATCAAGACCTGGTTGTGCATTCTCCTCTGTACAGTATAGCACTGTACAGTAAATAAAGCACTGCTCTAATGGTAGTATTTTCCATAACAGAAGAAACTATTTTTGTTTAAACTCTTGTTCATGATACCAACAATTTTCATAAAGAGTACAGTCTTGTCTTGCTTTTGAAGGGTTTTAGTGATAGAAGTGCTAACTCATTTTTGTAAGCTGTTCATGACTTTTTCTTTAGAGACATTCCTCATAATAGACATTCATATTTTAAAATAGTGCATTGAAATGTTGTATCTCAAAGTATTTTGACAGAATGAGTAAATATTATATTAGCCTAACAGGAGCAACAATAGTGGCACAGAAATCACTTGCAGTAAAATTCAATTAATGGAAAAAACTGGAAGTAGAGTTTAGATACCTCTCATCAAGTATCTAAGGATTCAGATACACAGGAATTGCATAGATCTTTCCTTTTCCAGCAAATTTTGATTTTCATATGGAATTGCTGGCCGTATCTCCTACATGTTCTACTCTACTTCATGCGTTTCATGAGAACTCATGCTTCTGAGAATAAATGAAATACTGATATTAGCTACTAAATTATAATTGTGGGAGTGGTAGTTATTGAAGTCCTACTTACACCACAAGTCCACCTTTTAGAAAGTGCAATTAAGTTCTGATGGAAGTCTCTTAAAGTTTCCTTTATTATTTAGCTTATGATTATTTGGGCACTTCAGTAACCACCCATATGAATACCACTTTGTAAAAGGTTTTCTATGATCCAGAAGTCACTTAAAGTCACTTACAACTTTTGGAAACAGCCACATTTTTCTGAGATAATTTTGTAGTATAAACAGAAAGCTACTCTGCAGTGAAAACCAGCTTTAATTTTGAACCATCTACTATGCAACTCTTAACCTGAGAACAGAATGTCTACTGAGTAAACAGAGTCCTCTCAAAAAGAAAATAACAATATGTAGAATAATTTTTCACCATTTATTTGAGAAAGAGCAAGTGCATCCATGAAAGCCCACATGAGTATTCTTGCTTTGAAAGAAAAAAGGGAGAATATATCTTGCTTTGAAAGAAAAAGGAGAGAATAATGAAAAAAGTTTCAAAAGACTCTTCAAAGAGTCTCTCAGCTAATTCTGTGGGAGACTCAAGAAGAGGAAGAGGAATCTGGGGAATAAAAAGGAGATATTTAATTAAACTCCTCGAACTCTGTATATGCATATGTGTTACCTATGTCTACTGCTAGAATTATTTTCTAACCCCTTGATGGGTGTTGCTGTATTGCACAGTTCAAGTTCCCTTCCAAAAGTAAGTTGAGACCCAAAAAATGCACTGGAGAAATAAATAGTAGAGACAGGTTACCATTTGGTTTTAACAGCTGCCGGAGATTCCAGCCTCTAGGCAGCCCATAAGGATTAGCTATATTGGAAGTCTGCCTTTGATAACACCCTCACACAAGTAACCATGCCAGAATTCATCTGCTGGCAGGGAATGTAACTGACTAAGGACTAGAGAATCTTAAAGCTCAGAATGTTGTTACTGAAATACTGCAATAGGCAGAATGCATGATACAGGATTCATTGACAGTGACAAAAAATTTTTGGAAACACGCTTTCATGAGTCTGATAACCTTGTTGTATTCTGGCTGACCTGTAATCTCATTATGGATTGAAAGAATAACATTATTTTAAAGTTTGCAGCATAAAATTATCTTTGAACCATTTTGTGTTGCATCAAGTAAAATAGTTTTTTGGTATTTCTATAAATAGAAAGTGATGTTGAAACCTGAAGAGCACTAAGCAGTAGTATGATAAATAATGTAGGAATGACCTAAAATGAAAAGTAGAGGTACATATTAAAATGAAAGGACTGGAAAATGGCACACATTTGAGAAGCATAGAGAGAAAGACTAGTATTTTTTGCAATTGGGGGAAAAATAGTAATTAAGTAGAAACAGGTTGTGGAGGAAAGTAACTCTTACCTCAGGAGACAATCTGCCCTACTTTCTTTTCTCACATTTTGAAATCTATTAATCTTTTACTTGCTTTATCACTTTCCTGATTCCCTGCAGGCCAGAGCTGACAGCTAAGCCTCTGTTTTATCTTAAACTGTTCAAAGCATATCAGAAAATGACTTACCCTGCTGAGCCTGAAAGTAGCAGGAACCCACCTACTGGTTACCCCTAGACTAGGTGATCACTGTTGCTTGTGTGAAATCATAATGATAGTTCCAGAACAATTGGCAGATTGTTACAATATATGGTCTTTGACTGCTTCTAGTTTAAATCCAGAAACTGAGTTGACTTTTTTTTATTGTCTGTAGAGGTAATTATTTATGTCTTAAGTCACTCTGATATCTGCACAAAAAGATAGCTCTTCACCCTGTGTTATTACCAGCTGTTTTGTATATGGGCAGGGTCAAGTAGTTGAACTGTCTGTATCTGTCAGCTCTGTTCATTTTGTGGGCTCTCTTCACTGTCTTTGAATACAACCTTTAAAAATCCTTTCTATTTTTATACCATTGCACTTGAAGAATTAGCTTTAAAATACACTGTTGTCACTACACTTTGACATGACAAAATGCAAGGATAAGGTGAGTGTGCTCATATTTATGTCTCCAAAAATAGGATTCCATTGGAATTTCTACAGTAATTTCATTTTACTAGGTGTTAACTTGTAATAAAAAATTGATATACCTCAAACAGTTTTCTGTGATCAAGCAAAATAAAGCAGAATGGGAATTGCAGACTGTTTATACTCAGCCTATATCATGAAATAATATGCTCATTATGCATTTCATGATACGCATTTCATCTTCAAAGTTTTACTGTCTGTATTGTCATCTGAAGTAGCATATAAGTAAGTGGTACATGAGATTGTGAGGTTAAAATTCATCTGAATGCAGATGAACCTGCATTTTGCCATTCTCGGGTGGAAGCTATAATATTCTTCACTGCTTTTAGCTATTGGAACATAATTGTTTCTTTTTTGATAGCTGAGGAGAAAAGTAGCACTAATGGTAAGCAAAGCCCCGTTTTATTGTGACAGGTTATCTTTGGATTTTGTGTTGGTGAAAATGTTTGCACGAAATTTGTTGTTGATGTCCTGTTAACTAATAACAACCAGGTTTGAAGGTAAAAGTTAAAATACTTGTGAATCCATGTAGGTATATAAAACTGACTCAGAATGAGTCTTTCAATTCTTCCCACTATTCAGATGTAGGATGTTTATTATGTTTAGTTCTACACATCAGAAATTTCCTGCTTCTTATTTTTGCAGAGTGGAGCATTTCCTAAAGTCTCTCCAAAAACATCAGAGGTGTCGTATTGGCTCTTTGTTTACTATATTGACTTACCATAATGCCTTCAACCCTTGTCTTGTTAGGAAGCATTCTCTTCAACAATATCAGTGGTCTTATTTTTTTTTAAATTTGATTATATTGTTGGCACACTGACTCATTATACTGTGCAAAAAAAAGAAATGGTCTCCTCTCCAATTTATGCTGGTAGATCATGCAACAGTAGAGATGCATTACCTTGAAATGTATACCTTGAAGTAGGAAACAAATGTCAGTTATACAGTCTTTTTCAACTCTTTTAGGTGCACAAGAACTTAACATGAATTGTGTTCCTTGCTGTAATGTCTTTCTTTGCTCTTATTTTGCTCGCTCTTGGCCAATTTAAATGCCAGCTTATTTCTGATTTATGGGAATTTGTGAATCCCATGAATTCTTATCATGACATTGTAGGCTATTGGTATTTAAAGATACTGACACTGAAAAGACACTGGCAAAAAAGGCATTACTTCCTCTTAACTAAATACACATTGCATTGCAGAAATTATATACTGAAGACATGTTTCAGAGATGTGGTGAGAAACTTGGGACAGAATTCCTTTTGATAGGGAGGTTGTGTACAAACCACTGTTCTGTTATTTATGTTACTTAAGTAACTTTAAGTTTGTTAAAACATCTAAAAACCCAGAAAGGCAGCTGAGTCATTTTTGTGTCCTTCACAAAAACACTGTTTATAGAAGTACTTCCAAAGTAATTCATGGTTGCTGATTGTTGCATAGTGGTGGGCCTTGTGTTGTGCTAAGGGCCGTCATCTGAAAGGACTCAGCGCCTTCTGAGACATCTGCTCCAGGATAGCATCAATGATATTTTGGATGATTTCTCAAATAGTACAGTATGGTTGCTAACAGTGGATAGGGGAAGAGAAACAGATTTTCCAAATGCAAATGATACAATATCAAAGCTTGGGGTACCTAGGCACACATTTTTTGCAGTCACAGGTTTATCAGTCCTGTCTTCTCCACTATTAAAAAAGGGACAATAATGTTTTTACAAAGGCACAAGAAAATTCAGTTTTAGTTTTCAGGGTATATTTGAACAAATGCTGATGATATTGCTCTCCTTATTCTATGGACAGATCTGCCAATGGGCTGATGAATGAAATGATGATGAATGAAAATGACAAGCTAAAAGAAATTAACTCCAGCAGATGCAAAATTCTGTATTATGTAATATTGCTTGTCCAGATTGGTGATAGCTGCTGTAATTATTTCACTGCAGGAAGTGAATACCCATCAGTGATGTGGCTAGCACAGCACAGTTTTTAACAAGTTTTTTTAATATACCTTTGATGAGCAGAAGTGTAAAATAAAAATCTGTATTTTAAAATATTAATTAATTTTTCTTTCTTTCTTACAGCTTGTGGCCAATGCAATCCTTTTTGTCATTGTAAATTTGTATGGGGTCTTTGTGAGGATTTTGACAGAAAGGGCTCAGAGGAAGGCATTCCTTCAGGCCAGGAACTGCATTGAGGACAGGCTGAGACTGGAGGATGAAAATGAAAAACAGGTCAGTTTCTAAGCCTTATTTATTTTTCTCTGTTTCTCCTGAGATGGCTGTAGTTATGTCAACAACATTAGGACATTGTTGCCAAATGTATGCTAGGGCATGTGTGCATTTCCATTACATGGGAAGTTCTGCCTTCCCCCATCTGCTTCAGGTCTTCCTCCCCAGAGGTTGCATACTCTTCACTCTTCATCTGCAGAGCTCAGAGAAGGTACAGGCTTACTCCACAGCTACTGTCAGCTCCAGTGCCAGAAGGGATCTGTTTTAGGGCTGAGGTAAAGCCAACATACTTTTGATAAAATTATGGTTATTTATCTGTATGTATGTTTTTGGGTGCCTGTTAGATGCACTGTAAATACCTTTCTTCTCACTGAGTGTTCTATGACCTATTTGCCTTCATGATACTGATAAGAAGAGTCAACATTTTGGGCACAAGAAGCTGCACTGGTGACTGAATAAGTATAATTGATAACAAGAATGAATATATTATATTTTTGTACAACTAATAATAAGAATAACGGTGATAGCAATCAGTAGCTCTTCTCAAAAATCACCTCAGTTATTTGATAGTTTATTTCATACAGTTTTATCAGTCAGCCTTCCAAACATATTTGGAAACAATAGACAAAGAAAATGCTTTATTGCGGACCTTACTGTTGTTACTCACAGATCTTGATGCAATTTGGGTTGTCCCTTTTTTTCTTCTATATGTTCTTTGCATTCTTCACACATATATTTGTAGCTCTGTCACCTATTGTATTAGTAGCTAGTTTTTCCATGGCCTTTCCCTAAGCAGAAAGACAAAACAAATTCCAGAGCTCCAAGCCCTGGAGGGTAAAAGGCTCCATGCTATCTTGGTTCTTCCTGGGAACCAAAGTTCAGAACCACTCTTTGAGATACATCTCATGAACAAAGTACAGCTAGTGCTGAAGGGAACACTCCAGAGAAAGGGCTTGGACCAGGAGGGGAATTGCATCCCCACTTGTCCTCCTAATTGGTGTTTTTTATCAATTATGATAATTTTCTGAACCTATAAAAATGTACTTACCCCTGGGGAGGGATGGGCTTTTGTGGATATCTTTCCAAATCTGCCTCTGAAGGCCTTCAAATAAAGTTCACCTTTCATATTACCTCCTTACTAAAATTATCTCAAGTTCCATTTCCAGCTGGGGAAAAAGACAACAATCTTTGTCTTTTATAGCTTAAACCTGTCATAGCTTAAACCTGCTATGATCTGTTGGTGTGTAATGTTTGGACTAGTTTTTCTTTCTGTATAGGTAATAATAGAGAGTGACACTGGAATACCTCTGTGGTGTTGTTGTTTCTTACACCAAGCAAAATGGTAGAGTCCTCAAATCTTGTGTACCTCACACAATTTTACTGCCTCTCATGTGCAATTTCTTTAGCAAGTATATTCCTATGTGTGGAGTAACACAGGTCCATAAGTATTTTCTGTTATGAATTAAGTGAATATGTTGTTTGTGAGTTGAATATACTCTGTAATAAGTAGACATCTCTTTGAACACTGCATGCCTTTTCTGGCTGTGTAAAAATGGTATTAGGATCAAAGCCTTTAGATTTAATTCTGTTATTTTGTAATCCAAAGCTGCAGATTTTTAAAGGCATAAAGGTGTCATAAGTGAATTTCCATGGGATTTAAACAAGACTGCCATTTCTGTCTTTGAAAACCTACTTCTGGGATCCAGCATGAGAACAAAACGGATTTTTTGTGTTTTTCTTGTTAACACATTAGCAACCCGTCTTATTTTATATATTATCCACGTATATAGAAACACAACAAAAGCAAAACCATTACACATAAATGCCATTATTGTTGATAGTATACCTAAATAATCCTGCAAATGTTTTTCCAATGCAGTGTACAGGCCAGGGAAGAGAATAAACTTTTCTCTTACACTTGTGAAAATAATTTAATGCATTGCAGTGTAAAACTCAGTGTAGTTGTGAAATATGCTAATTAGCTGCCACAAGTACCACCAAAATACTTTCTGTGGCAGTTTGCACACTATATTAGCATAGGTCTAGAACCAGAGTGAGAATTAAGACATAATTACGGGCTACAAAATTATTCTACCATTGTTGTGGCATAACATACTCTGAGTTTCCAGCTGGCAGCACTCAAGAGTGTTATGAGAGGAGAAGAACTGCTGCTGACCTAGTTCAATTTTTATGATCAGTCCTGTATTTTTGTTCTCTGAAGTATCAATTTTACATGTTAAAAAGGACTGAATGTTTTCATCAGACTTTCTTGTCTCATACAAATGCTCTGCCCTAGAAAACATAGCCCTTTAACACTGAGAATTGTAACCAAAAATGGTAAAATTATTCCCTGATATTTCTGTGCAAGTCTCTTCCTGGGAAGGAAAGAACATGGTCTTGACTTTTGAACAGACACAGCTTTCTGGAGTTAAAGTGTTGACTGTGTGAGACAGACACCATAGATGAAGCTGTAAGTGAGATTTCTTCCTCTGTGTCCTACTTATAGTGAATTTTCCTCATGGGATGTATTTGTAGTAATAGCCCTACAGGATAATTTTGATAAAACTATTTTTGTGAGCAAGAGTAAATATCTTCTGTTGGCACATTTTTGGATTCATACAAACAGCCTTGAAAGTGTTGCTGGGGAAAAAGGGAGCAGACAGATTCTGTTTATTTTAAAATTCATTGTAATGCTCACCCTCTTATCTATTATCTGTGGTCACAATTAATAACTGGCCTTCATGGCAGCATCATCCATTTGTTGCATTGCTGAATGTTAGATTACAATTCCACGAAAAGCGAAGGACAAGAACCAAGTTTAGATAATGAGCAAATAGTTACAATCATCCACTTGGGATAAGCTTTTTCTCTTGTTATCTATAAATCTCAGCAGCAAGTCATCCTCTGCCGAGCAAACAGCTAAGATTAATTAATTATTGTGAGGTGGGTCCCTTTCCCTGGAATTTTGCTTTTTCTATTCATGCTCAGTAAGAGCATGTGAGCACTTCCCCTCACTCCCACTGCACCATCTCTCTGTATCCACTTCCTTAATTCCAGGTCATCCTCTGCCCATACAACAAAAAAAAGCATTGTCACCCAGCTCCCTGAAGGACCCCTGGTCTTAAGACACCCCAGCTGTTCTTCCAGCAGTACTTCACCCCTTCTCAAGTAAGAAAGAAAGGAGCAAGTAGGGATGGGGAATGGGGGATGTATTCAACACAGAAAAGAGTCTGCTTCTTATGGAAATGATTGCCATCTGACTAAAAGGGGATATAAGTAAGGAAGATGTGGCTCACCATGTATTAATTGCAGGTGTAGTAGCTCCTGAAGTGGAGCTGTGCTCCAAGGAAGAGATACGATTGTTCTTCTGAGGCCATCTTAATTTGAAAAGCAACTGCACCGCTGTCTTTAAAGACCTGCAGACTCTCATTTTACAAGTGTCTCTTTCAGCATCTTCATAGTTTTGTTGTCCCCACAGTTTTGTGGCCATCACACTAACTGGGTACTAATTAATATCCTAAGTATGCACTGTGTAAAACAACTTCCTTTTATTTGTCATAGACTTGTTGTCTGATAAATTGATTTTGTGCTTTTCAGCTCTCATTTTGTGACATTGATACTCATCCTACTATAACCTGTTCTGTGCCACTCACAACACTGTAGACTTTCATAACTCTGCTCATCTGTCTTTCCAAGCTGACGACCTGTTGTCAATCACACTCCCTCCTTTCCTTGCCCTGCTAATAAGAATATTTTTATGCATATTCATGCACTAAATTTGGGGATAATACACATACTTTTCCTTGGTGAAATGCACTTGTAGCACAGGTTGATATGGAAAGTGCCTGTTGCTTTTATATAAGGCAGACCAGGAAAACATTTTACTTCATGCAAACCTTCAAAGCCCACAAAACTACCTTAAATATCTTCAGTATCTTAAATATTATTTAATTTCATAAGTACATACAAGTATGTTCACAAAATAAAGCCTTCTTTCAAGCCATTTGTTTAGATCTTTCCATCCCTTCTAAATGTTACTTTCGTACTTCCTCACAATTAGAATTGACAGTGGAAAATCAACTGGAAAATAGCAAAGTATCCAGAATGGGGGAATTGGTATCTTAAAAACTAACTGTGAAATCAAATATAGTTTTTCAAACCTTTGGGACTGGAGAAATGTATTTATTGGTGGCACATGTCTTCCAAGAAATAGTTGTGTACTTCACTACAATGCATGAAATTTTAATCTATTTAATATAAGAAACTGAAAGAACCACTCAAAGATGGCTGGGAATTAGGAAGCGTGGGGCTGAGACAGCCAGCTCTGTGTCTAGTTTCAGGACCACAAGACTGCCACTCCAGCTAGACTAATCAGATTTGCTGAAGTATTGTTCAAAACTGCAGTAACGTTGGTTCTGGGAGACAGACTAGAACTTTGGTGATGGTGTGCAGTTCCTCCATACATGTTCACCAGACAATGTGCAGCTAGCTGAATTTTCCTTATGCAATGCTGAATTGTGTGTGCAAATATCTGCATGCATATGTATCTGCATTCCAAGTGTCTTCTGCAATTCTGGGTAGTGTCCTTAATGTCACATGTAGTAACTGGGTCACCACGGAGTCAGAATTTTATTAATAACTATTCATAGAAATGGAAAAGGTATCAACAAAAGATACCATGACTCTCACTGCACAATACTTTGAACTAGTGTTTAGGTTGCCTTGCTTTCAAATTCTCTGCTGAATTCAGATTACCCTTTAAAACAATTTGATCTAGACATTTCTCATTTTGGATGTTCGTACTGCCTCTTGTATATCTGAGTAAAAAGATGACTCCTACAGAAACCCTCCAGTGGTTTTGTCTGTTGTGTTTAATTTCAATCCCTTATGAAGAAAGGGAAAAAAATTACATTAACTTTGAATAAAGTAAATCATGCTGGATTTTGTTTTGGTAGTTGATAACAGTTTGCTGAGGTTTTTTGCCTTTCAATTCAGCAAACAAA